CTGGCCTGTTCCCTCCCAACTGCCCTCCCCTGCCAGCCATCTTGTGGTGAGCATCTTTGACCACATGGGGTGACCATCTTGTGTGTTGGAGTGATTGTCAATTTGCATATTACTCTTTTATTAGCTAGGGTTGTGGACTGTGCTGTACTTTACATTCACTTGACTATTCTGTAACTACCAATTTGTACTTAATTCCTTCACCTCTTTCACCCAGGCCCCAAATCCCGTCCTCTCTGGCAACCATCAGTCTGCTCTTTGTATCTACGAGTCTGTTTCTGTTTTGTTTGTCATTTATTTTGTTCTTTAGATTCCACATATAAGTGACGTCATAGGGTATTTGTCTTTCTCTGACTGACTGATTTCACTTAACATAATACCCTCTAGGTCCATCCATGCTGCTGCAAATGGTAAGATTTCTTTTTTTTTTTAATAGGCGAGAACTGTTCCATTGCATATATGTATCACAACTTTTATACCCATTCATCTATTGATGGGCACCGGGGTTGCTTGCATAGCTTGGCTATTGTAAGTAGCTGCAATGAACATAGGGGTGCATATATTCTTTTGAATTAGTGTTTTGTATATATATATCTTTGGATATATATATACACAGAAGCAGAATCACTGGGTCATAAGACAGTTCCATTTTTAATTTTTTGAGGAATCTCCATACTGTTCTCCACAGTGGCTGCACCAGTCTGCATTCCCACCAACAGTGCAAGAGGGTTCCCTTTCCTCCACATCCTCACCAACAACACTTGTGGTTAGTTGATTTATTGATAATAGCCACCCTGACAGGTGCGAAGTGGTATCTCATTGTGGTTTTAGTTTTTGTTTCTCTGGTGAACCAGTGTCAGATTTGAATTTGGATTCATTTAATTGCAGGTCTTGAGAACTGAAAAGGATCATTCAATAGAACTTTGTCTACTTTTGATGAACTCTTAGCTTACAGGGGCTGTTTAAATGTGTAGCTAGGTTACCTATCAGAATACTTACACAAGAAATCAGGCGTCCTTAGTTTTTTCTACTGTCCAATGAAAAATCTCTGTTTCTGCATAGGGAGTAAAACCCCGTGGTATTTGGTATTTTGGATATAAAATTCTTTTTTTCTTTTTTAAATATATTTTATTGATTTTTTTTTACAGAGAGGAAGGGAGAGGGATAGAGAGTCAGGAACATCGATCAGCTGCCTCCGGCACACCCCCTACTGGGGATGTGCCCGCAACCAAGGTACATGTCCTTGACTGGAATCAAACCTGGGACCTTCCAGTCTGCAGGCCGGCTCTCTATCCACTGAGCCAAACCGGTCAGGGCTGGATGTAAAATTCTTGTTGTTTGTGGGATTGTCCTGTGTTGAGTACAGCTGGCCTCAGTGCAGTAAATGCTAGGAGTGCTCTCTAGTGGTTGTACGAATAAAATGGCCCCTGTCTGTTTCCAAAGACTGCAGATACCCCCCTGGCTGAGAACCAGTCTTCATTTCTTTTGCTTCTAATAGGCTCTGACTTACTTGTGCACCCACGGTTCTCAGATGTGAAAACTCAGTCTCGTGTTTGCAGGATGCGCCTACCTCTGAAAATGCCATGGATGTGTGCAGAGGCTCTTGTATGAGGAACTGGACTAATCACTAATATTTAAGAACCTACTGCGCTCAAGAGATTAAATACCAGCTCTGCAGGATACATATTCTAGGTGAGATCTGGAGTGACAATCACAGTGCCAGAACATTAACCCAACCCTGACTTCACACAAAGAACACAGTGAGAGTTTAGAGAACCTAGGGCCACATAAGTGAGCAGCTCTGCCCAGAGAGCAGCCAGGCGTTCAGTTCAGCTGTTTAAAGTACATTCATATTGTTGTGCAACCACCACCACCATCCATGTCCAGAGCTCTTTCCAACTTGTAAAACTGAAACTCTGTCCCCATTAAACAATGACGCCCCATGCCCCTCCCCCAGCGCTTGGCCTCCCCCATCCTCCTTCCTGTCTC